TAAATTAGTTTTGATTATTCCCCTTTAATCATTTAATGCAGGTAGTAACTACAAAATAACAGTAAATCCAGTCCGCATTTATGACGATGTATCTCTGTAGTTGTTCGTAAAATAATTTTTTACTGCGAACTGGTTTAATTTGGGCAAAAAATTCAAGAGACATTTTTTTTTAGAATGAAACAGGCTATCGGAAATAAATTTTTAAATGGTAAAAAAATAATAAGACAAAAAGTTACGTTGGAAATAAATTTTAGGGGTTGCGTTTTCCACCCCTTACAACCATGGGGTAAACCAAATAAATTACTGGCTAAGTGTCTTTTTGGTAGTAGAAAATGTCAGGTTAATTTCAATATTGTAACTTGTTTAGTGCTTGTGAAAAAAATTGTTAAACAAATTTTATGTACCCCCTTTAAGGGGCTGTATCTTAACAAGGGATGCTCCAATAAAGTTTCTTTATATGAAAGATCCTATCTTTTTTTCCGATGAGGAATCACCCCCTGAAATGTTTTACACTTATTTAGTTACACCCTGTATACAACCGTTCGTGACTCGATTTATTCAACTATGTCGAAGGCTTATTTTGAATAATAATTTCTGGGGTTCCTAATGAAGATCTCCCAGCATCTCCGCTACTGAGTGACAGATTTGCTTAGTAAAGTTTTGTTCATAATTAGTAGTCATTATTCCAAATTTTATCAATGTACGTCAGACAGTTTACGAGACATTTCAACAAATGTGTTATCTCGAATACGACCCATGTTTATAAGAACATTTTTATTTTGAGGTGTATCATCAGGTTAAAGTGCATTTCATTTATTGGTCATTTCAATGAACTTTTTTTATTAGATAAATTTTACAAAAAGCGCGTGGAAAGCATTTTTTTTTATTCAAAGCCAGGGAGAACTGACTATTTTTTTTGTGCAAAAATAATAAGTATTAGGTATTAGGGACTTTTCTTGACGGACAAAGTTCCAACGGATAGTAATTAATAGATTTTTGGTGTCGCCAGCATATTTTTAGAAAACGAACATAGTTTTTAATAGAAGTTTCTTTAAAGTTTCTTGGGGTTATTTGAACAATATTTACCCAGATACATGGTGATATAATCTTTTTAGGTTGCAGCAATGCCAAAATTCATAATTATTTGAAACCCACTGTATATTAGTATTAAAAAAGTTGACGCACTCGTGTTCCAAGTCATCCTAAGTAAAAATTGATAAAATTTTTGCCCTGCACTTCTCTAATTTTTGTTAAAAAAAAAATAGTCGCTGGCTTTGAATGATAAAGTTTTTTGAACACGGAAGAATACAAAAATTGAAAACTTTTACAGATGCACTGTAGATTTGGTTGTGACTATTATAAATAAAGGGAATTTTCAATTGAAGTAGGTATGTTAATTGAAGTAAATTTCACAAATTATTATTGAAAATTAGGATAAATGAATGGGAGGTGTATTTGCTTTAAAGAATTCCTATACAATTCTTTTATGCATTTAGTATTTAAAGGCAGAAGGAATTCGTATTT